GCTGTCTGAGACGCCATACAATAGGCTGTTGGCGAAGACACTCCTGAGGAGCTGCACAGGCTCGAACCAGGACTGGATGAGCAGCAGGGAGATGCGGAGCAGCTCTATGTTCTGCAGGGGAAGGACCGGCAGTGGGTGGGCTGCCCGGGGGCTCTGACCACAGGCCTCCCCATCCCTGCCTGTGGAGAGCGTGACCACTCACGGATTTCTGCTGAGTTTCCTTTTTGCTGGCCGGTGTCGGGATAGACTCTGAGAAGCAGAGGGAGGTCTGGGGGTTCTGCAGGAAGGAATACTTCTGTTCCTTCGGGATATAGGCTTCTTCCTAGGAGAAGGACCGCCCACCAAGGTCCATGCTGGTGACCAGCTCCCACTCTTACTTTTCTGGGACCTCTCTCGGCCTATGCTCATCTGCCTGCATCTTCACTTCTGAAACAACCCTGAGCTCCTTCGTTTCCTCCCACTACTTCCCAGCAGGGGAAAGGCACTCCTTCCCGCTACCCCTGACTGGCACCCATTCCCCAAGAGCTTACGAACTCCTGGTAGGTGTCAAAGGCCAGCTGGTGCAGGCGATGGGCGCGGAGCATAGCATTGTCCAAAAGCCTGGATAAGGGAATTGTTGGGAAGGCACCGGCCTCTTGAAGCTGGGGCAGGCAGAGCAGGGTGAAAGCCAGGAGCATGGATGTCCGGGAGCCTGGGAAGAAATCGGAGGGAAAGGGAGGGAGCCAGAGAGCAAGAGGCCAAGGCTATTGCTCAGGGGCTGGATTTTTAAAAAATTATTATCTCTCTGGTACCAGGAACATTCTGAGATTGGCTTAGGTGGCGATACCGACATTCAGGAGCCTGAAACCTGAGGGTTAGTCCCCTCGGTCCCATCTACAGGGCGCTGCCTCTCCCTCAGGACATATAATACCAAAAGGGATTTTAGGGGTGCATACCTGCAGCCATTGCAGCTAGGTGAGCTGTCCACAGGACTCTCCGTGGTTTGGGGAGTTGGGCCTGGGATCCTGGAGCTGGTCTCTTGTGGGCCCTTTTATACCCTGTCCCCTTCTCTCTCCCTACTTGCCCCTGTTTCTTCGTACATTTATGCATGGGACCCTGGACGTGCCTGTGCTAATGGATAATTCAGAAGCTTCTCCCACACACTGTGGTACCGTATCCCTGGCTTGTCATCTTTCCCTTCCCACCGTCACCAGCGCTGTGCACAGAGTGTTGGCCAGAGGAACCACCCAACCTGGCCTCTCTTTAAGGGGCAGGTGGGTTTCCTCTGGCAGCATGCCATGGTGGCCAACCTGAAGGCGGGAAGGGATGTCGGATAGCCAGTCCTTGAGACCCACACGGACCCCATCCCACTCTCTATCCTATCCATTTCCTCCTCCCCGCGTGGTTCCCCTCCTCCCACCAGAGAGAGTGTGCGCTGGGAAAAAGGGCCCACCACAGCCAACAGATTCTGGGGGTTCTGGGCAAGATTCAGTCCTGAATTCCACTTTGGCTGAGTCCTCCTGGGCCGGCCTCAGGCAGCTGGATGCAGTGCTAACACCCACCAGTAGAGGGAACCAACCCCATACTTTCCCTCCCCTTTTTCTGAG